TCCGAGGCCGCGGCTGCACGGCCAAGCCTGGAGCAGCAGCAAAAAATAAATGGGATTGAATCAGGTTCGTAATTTTTGGAGCCACCTCTTGTTTTGGTTGGTTTTAAAGGGACACCAAAAGGAAAACCAGCACTTTCATGTCTTGTTTCTTCTTCTTCTTCTTTTTTTTTTGGGTGGGGGGGGGGACGGTTTTGGATTGGTGTACTCTTTGGGGGGAGGTTAAAGGGACACCTAAAGGAACACCGAAATCCATCTTGGAGGTCCGATTCCTTGATTGAAAACAAAATGAAAGGCTTGACCATCTGCAAGAGTTTGCATTTGCTTCTAGCGTGATGCTCAGACTCTTCGGGGTTTGCCTGATGTCCGTTTCCGAGACTGTTGAAAAAACAACCCTCTTGGAAAAATCGGATTTTCAGGAAGGACACCGCTCAAAAAGAAAGGACATAAGAACAAGGGCATTGGTCCCTGACATATCGAGATACTCTTTCCAAGAAAAAAAGGAAACAAAAGCAGAAAACAATCTGCTAAGTGTTCGCGCATGGTGCCGCAAAAGCCAGGCGTCCCCGGTTCCACCCATAAACAGCCACAAAGTCTGAAGCACTGAGGCTGCCGATTTATGTCGCCAACTAGCCGCACATAATTACTCGAGCGCAACTTGCGGTTTGTGACACGCTGGAAGTTGTTGCCAGTTAACTCAGATTGCTGGTGCGACAGGCAGGGATTGGGGGAATGAACCCTTTTGGGGACTCCCGAAAAAAGGACACCACCAGTTGGATAATTTACTTCAGGGTCATGCCATCCCTGTAGACCATCCCCTGTAAACCATCCCCTATTCCTTCAAGGGGACCCCTGGGTTTATTCCAACGCATTCCCTGCCGATTTCGCACCAGTCAACTCAAGGTTTGCCTTTTCCACTGAAATGAACAAAGGACTCCCTTGAAAAGGGCTTCTACGCTACCCAACCACAAAAACGTTGGAAAGGCAAACCATGACATGTACACCATCCCCTATTCCTTTAAGGGGACCCCAACCCATTCCCTGCATTCTCTCGCACGAGTCACCTCAGGTCCAGCGCACCGCACCCAACTTCTGCACCCTCGCGCCTGCAAGTCGACCACTCGCTCGGCCCAAAGCCTCGAAGCGGGCGGCATCTTGCGACTCTGTTCCTTCAACAGCTTGAAGCAACCGATTAAATCGCTGGGAAACAAACAAAGCAACCAACAAACAAACAAAGAAACAAAGAAACAAGCAAGCAAGCAAAGAAACAAACAACCAAGCAAACAGGCAAGCAAGCAAGGTGCATCCCTTTGTAATTTCCATCGGAAATCCAAAAGCCAAAGATCTCATGCAGATCCGACAGGTCCGACAGGTCCGGTAGGTTCTTGGGCAGCTTCGTGGTTCGCTCGCTGCTCATTCGGGCAAATTGTCGACCCTGATCTTTTTCCACCCTTGCTTCACTGCTCCAGCGCTTGTGCTAGCTCCTGGGGCAGCGACAAATTGGGGCCCACTCGGGAAGGTCTGGTGTTCCAAAATCACTTCAGGAGAGTTGTGGACTCGCCTTCATAGACCTACAGGATTTGCTGTGGAAAGACCTGGGCTATCACATTTCAATCTGCATGCAGAAACCCCGCCGGTGAACAGAGGTGGATAAATGGCCTCCAGGGCTATGTTTGGGGAACTCCTTTGTTCGATGCACCGACAAAGGTGTTGGGACATCCCTTCCAATTGATGCATTGGCAATCCAGTATGAAACGGGGACCCTTTGGTGAACACCATGTAGGCGATTCCATGTCCACCAACCTCCAAAAGAGGTGCTTCCCAATAAAATTCTAGGGGTGCCTTCCCCATTCTTTCCAGGATCCTTCTTTCAAGAAAGCCTCCGGAAACCAAGGGAAAACAGCCAGTTTTTGGAAAGAACAATGGTTGAAAAGAATGGCAAAGGAACCAACCCCTAAAAAAACACTTTCCTTTCCCACTGCTTTCCCCAAGCAACCCCAAACCAGGATGCCCTGAAGACCTCCCGGCGACGTGGCGTGCGATTCTCTCTCCTGGCCCACCCGCAACACCGTGGGGGCGTCGGGGTGGCGCTCCAAGGCAGCCTTCACCACCAACGCTCCCCCCGCACTCAGCAGCCGAAGCCTGGGATGTCGACCCATGGACATTAGATGACGAGGCATTTGGCTACCTGAGCGCTATGATCATAGCTACTCCCGCCGACCCGCATTGAATTTCATCACTTTGACATTCAGAGCACGCAGAAATCGCTTTGCGCCAACACCTTCTGAGGCCATTGTCTTAAACAGGGCCGTGGAAAACGGAGGCCTCTGTGGGGCAAGAAAAAAGGGCCTCCCGAACACTATCCACCCACATAAAGAGGGGGTGTGGGTCAAACTTAGGTACCGAACTGTGCAGCCCGAATAAAAGGCAATTTTCACCCATGAAAAACAATGAGCTTTTGCCTTGCCATTTTGGGCAGATTCCATTTGGGTGAAGCAAAGCTCACGTTTTTCAAGGGAGTTCCGGTTCTCTGTGGGTCTCTGTGGGTCTCTGTGGGTCTCTGTGGGTTCCTTGCATTTTCCCCTTCCAAAACCGAGCCCTGAAGCTCAACCCAAACTGGGGGCGGAGAAAGGGCCAAAGGGCGGCGCTTGAGCAAGGCAAATCGACTTGCGCATGTTGACCCCCGATAAATCAACCCCGGTTTATTGACAAGGGGGTGTCCATTTCTGGGTTTAGTGGGGAAACACCACTGTTGGAGGGAAACACCCTATTAATAAACTGGCGTTGATTAATATGGGGTCAACATATAACAGGTCACTGAAAGAAATCCGGGTCGGGTTCAGAAAGCCAGCACTTTCATTTTATTTCATTCTATCTGCGTCATGTCGGGTCGCTGGGCAAAACCTTCGGCAGTAATGGAAAAGTGGGCGTTGAAAGCAGGCCTGTCAGCTGGATTGAAACAACATCTGCCAACGCTGGACGATATCCACGAACTTCTTCCAACAAACTCCGGGAATACTTCAGTTCCGGGAAGATACTTGTTGCGGAGTAGAAGTTGTGCAAACAGCCAGGCGCATTGCAAGCCATTGCGCTTAGCTGGCCAATACCGGAGAAACCCCCACGCTGGGCATTCTTCGGGCAAATTTCAGGTGTTTCCCGGTGTTTCCCCAGCATCTCCGAGCCGCATGTTCTGAGGGGCTCTGGAGATGTTGAACAAAGCTCCGATGCAGTAGTCCTGGACCAACCGCCTCAGCCAGCTTCAAGGCTGTGCTTCAGCACAGCCTCTTACATGGGAATTGGCCTGTGGTGCGGAAACAATTAGTTGGCAAAAGTTAAAGTCCTAACATCCAAGCAAAATGCGCCAAAGAAGTGTTCCTTTTCCCCGGTTTCTTACCCACGCACTAGCTAGAGGCATCCAGCGCTTGATGTTTCTGGAGCCCCCAGCGTTGTTCAACAGGATTGCTCCTGTTCACCCAAGGGCAAACAGTTGGTGCCCTTAAAGGACACTAATTAACGATGCGTCACATTTCTACCCTTGGGTGTTGGACCCCTGGAAAGAGTTCACAACAAAAAACAATCTAACAATCTCTAATCTTACCCAAATCAACCCTATACCTAATTGACCTAACAAAGAAAAGGTCCCTCCCAAAAAAAACGCACTCCCAAAGCAAGCCCTCCTCCATTTACTTAAGTCCGCCTGGAAAAACAGGCACATCTTTCCAGTAGTGACACATCCCCTTTAACCAACACGGGAAAATAAAACACACTATTCTTCTCAGCAACTCACTTCCTGAGTCGATTGGCCAGAAAAAGCCAACTTTTCGCTTGCCACTCAGATGCTGCCAAAAAGTGCCCAAAGTCCGAACCGGAACTCAGGAACTTGATCGGAAGTGAGATAAACAAAAATGGGCGCCCCCCAATTCCAGCACCCCCACAGTTGGTTGGTTGACCACGTGACTTTCCACAAGCCGCCTCCGGCCGGCACCGCCCCCGGCGGGTCGCCCCCCGGCGGTTCCGTCCGGCGGTTCCGTCGGTTCCGTCCGCGGCGCTCGTCCCCGTGGAGCTCCATGGCGCGCACCGCGGCGGCGATGGCGTCGGTTTCCGCCACGCGGAGCTGCTCCTCGGTGGAGGCCGCGAGGTTCGCCAGCACCGCGCAGCCCTCCCGCGCCGAGCAAACGAGCCGAGCGGGCGACGGCGGCGGCACTGGGGCGACGAAACGTGCGGCGGGGTGGGGTGAGGGGGATATTCCCGTTCGCAGGAATCCCGTTCCCGTTCCCGAAAACACGGGGGGGGGGGGGTGGAGGGAGGGGAGGGGTGGAGGGGAGGAGGGGAGGAGGGTGGGAGGGGTGGAGGGAGGGGGTGGAGGGAGAGGAGGGGGGGGGAATCCCATTCCCGTTCCTAAGCAGGTCCTATGCCCGTTCCAATTCCCATTCCCATTCCGACTACGGAAGTAAAAGGCGAAGCTTTGCGGGCCACTTATAATTGACCAAACTACGAGGGCAAGTGATTTTGGAGGATAGAATCAGTGTCTCCCAAGGAGGGCGAATTTTGGGGCGCAGAGCTGCTTTCGATTGCCATCCTGCCATCGGGTGAAAAAGCGGACCGAGCCTCAAAGAAAACACCCATTCTGGGCTGGTGGCAACCCAAGGAGTGTTGCTTTCGGGTCCCCTAAAGTACCGTTTTTTGTGCGGTCTCAACGACTTCTTTTGGGGCAACCCACATGCTATGTCTCTTGCAGGGTACCCTCCCATCAGGGAACCCAGGATAAATCAAACCCTGGTTGATGAGTCAGGGGCTCGTTTACGAGGGAGCACGTTCTGGGAATACATTCCGCTAATCCACCAGGTTGCACAAACCGGGATCGACGTTCTGCCTCAGATTGTGCCAGTCAAAGGGGCACCGTGTTGCTCGTTGCGGCATGCATGCCATGCGAAATGGTCAACTCAGGGAAAGCACAAGGGCAAGCAAACCAACCGGAAGAAGTGCAGCGTGACAGTCCCGAGCCTTGTACTGAACCAGTGAAGCCATCTCATGTTCCTGCATGCTCCTGACTACCTTGGCAAAGCAAGGAGGGAGCAGGACTCTTGCAACAACACTCTCAAGAGGAACGCTTCCCTGTGCCTTGCAATTTGCGCAGCCCGGATTGCTGCAGTGTCCCCCAAGGAAGAGCGTTTGAGCTGCAGGATGTTAGGCGCATCAAGGCTTGCACAAGGGAAAGTGACCCTGCATCTGCGGGGATTGCTGCCTTGTGGGCCCGATCCTACTTTGAATCATAATTGAACTCAACAATCCATGGCTTCGCTTTCACTTCAACAAACCTACAGGCTTGGACGACTGAAACGGAACCCTGTGGCCCTCATCGGACCAAAGAACAGCTTCAAGCTTCCCCGGGAACAGCTTCTCGGGGGGAACGAGATTCTTCAAACTGCCGCGAGGAAGCGTAACTATCAGTGATTCTACTAGTTTGTTTCGGACAAGTGTATCAACCTCTATAACCAATGCAGAACCAAAAGACAATGGGTGCGGATATATTTTGGGATTTTATATCGTTCTATTTTAGGATTTGTTTCGTTCTTCGTCCGGGCCAGTAACATGTCGTAGTTTACAGCATGTTCTCGCAAAGTTGACGTATTTTACTCTATCCCCCGCATGTCCGACCAACATCCCTAGCATCACCAACAAATTGTGGGGTAACAAAATATAAAAAAAAAGAAGTAGCTGGCGGGTTGACGGGATCGAAAAAATGATGATTCAAATAGGAGGGCATTTCAATCCCTGTAAACAAATCTAACAAGTAGCGGGGGGGTTGGGGGGGCGGCAGCCCCCCCAATGATGTTCGCAGAAGTGATGATTCGAAGGGGTGCAACTAAATATCTGCAAAAAGTCTAAGAACTAGCGGGGGGGTTGGGGGGGGGGCAGCCTCCCCCATGATGTTCGAGGAAGTGATGATTCAAATAGGGGCGCAATGCTTCAAGAAAGGGTATATAATTTCAAAAGCAGCGGGAGGGTTGGCGGGGGTGGCTTCCCCTATGATTTCGAAGAAGTGCATACATACAAAGATACATAGATTACGTGGATTACATAAAATGTTGTATTTTACAATACTTTCTCGCGAAATTGGATGCTCGAAAAAGTGATGAACCAAGTAGGGGTGCAATTAAATCTCTGCAAGAAATCTATAAAGTCGCGGGGGTTGGGGAAACCATACAGGCTACCAACACAAAAACCAAAACCGCTCCCAACTCAAAAAAAACAAAACCGCTCCCAACTCAAAAAAACAAAACGCTCCCAACTCAAAAACCCAAAACGCTACCAACTCAACCCCCCCCCTTAAAAAAAAAGAAAAAAGAGCCCTTCTTCCCTTCCGAGGCCGAACTTCGGCCTCATTTCGCTCTGCGCCCGGCGGCCACCTCTAGGCCGCCGTTCTGGAAGATCTGCTGCCGCTCATCCTCGCCGGCGGCCAGGTGGGTCAAAGTGCCCGCGCAGTGCCCTGGCTCCGCGCCCCGCGCCCCGCGCGCCGAGGGAGGGGCGGAAGGGGGGGGGGCTCGCGGGGATCCCCGGTGGGGAGGGGGGGTGGGGGGTCCCCAATTCCATTTATCTAGTCCCCATAAAACGGAAAATGGAACCACAAATGGAATTCCAGGGGTCACCCCCCCCAATTCCATTTTTGAACCTTCGGCACCAAGGGGTACCGTGGGCAAAGTCCCGCCTTCTGAACTCGGAAGTTGGCCCAAACTTTGGAAAACCAAGGAAACATTGCCAGGTTGCATTCTGCATTACATCATGAGTGCGCCAGCATCTTCGCGGCGGAAAAAAAGGAACAAAAACAACACAACCGCACAAACAAGACAAAAACATCGCGCAGCCTTGGACGCCAGGAGAGTCCCCGTGCACTTCCATGGCGGCGAGGACCAAGTCAATGGCTCCCAAGCTGGAAATGAAGGACCTCAGGGCTCACAGTTCCAGGTTTCAAGCCCAGCAGCCTGAATTGGATCCATTTCCTGCACCCGAGCAACAAACAACCCAGCTGGCACGCTCCGTCCATGTCCAAAGCCATGGAGCCCGCAGAAAAAAGAAAAAAAACACACGTTGAGATGAGTCTTGGGTTGAAGTAGTGCCGTCTGTGCTGCATGTTTGTCGCTCAGACGCATTTTCAGTGGAACGTGTCCCCCCTTCCTCCGTGCCAGCACAATTTGGCGGAGAGACTTCGAAGCAGAATTTCGGTCCTTGCTTGGGAGCCGCTATCCCCATCAAAGTTTTTTTGGAGGAAGGTGGAATCCCCATGTCCAAGGCGCTGTTGAAGGCTCTTCAACCAAAAAAAAACAGAAAAGCTTCTAGACTTTGAGCCCTACCTCGCCTTGGGAGCTCAGAGGAAAGGCCAAAGGGCTGCTCAAGCTTCCAGGTGCCCGAGGTCCCGTCATTTTCGCCGATGGACCAAAAGGGAGATGTGGCATGTGTCGGACTATGGGCAACACCCTCAACATGCCTTTGGGCGTCCCTTTCACCCCGCATCTTAAAAAGTGAACCCACCAAAAGCAAACCACAAGAAGGGGACAAAAGTTCCCTGGGGGAGTCACCAAGTCACCCCAGGATACCCCAGGCCCCGTTGTCCCCGGCCTGGTCTCCTGGTCCACCACTAACGTCCTCAGGGCCTCGCAGCAGTTCTCCTGCACCGTGGGGTCCAGAGGCTGTCGCTGCATCTCGTGCAGCGCCTACGCGTCGCCCCACTCGGTGAAAAGGCGAGGAGGACGCGGATCCGTTTCAAGGATCAAAAAACAGAATTCCAAAATGGGTTGCCCTGGAAAGTGGAAAAAATAAACCAAACCCTGCGGGTTGCTCCTCCTGTTTAATTTTGAGCCACACCCACATAGTCTTGTCAATACGAACTCATGGAGTTCAAGAAGCGACACCCCGGAGTTGCTGGTTCTTAGGAACTCAATTTCGGGGTTTTGGGAAAGGAAGCCACCAATTGGATGGTTCAGTTCGTTTCGGGTCCTCCAAATGGAAGTCTTCCATGGCCAAAGCTTGGATTCGGGATCGCACAAAATGAATCTCTGCGACTCAGCCTGCGCGACCCATCATGAACGAGTTGGACTCTTGTTGCATCGGTTTCGATGCCCGCACCTCGTGCCACGTATATTGCAGCTCTTGGCTGGTCTGGACCCAACAGCCCGACAAAAAGCCGCACAACGTCCGAGAAAAACAACGCAGAAGCGGGCATCCGCACAAGATACCCACATCGGCCAGAGCGCCTGAAATTCATGAAACGCTGGGAAAAACAGTCCAAGCAGACAGTAACTCTCAGTGCCTGTTCAATGTCAGGCAAAACCATGTCAGACACATCGGTTACCATTTAGTGCCAAAGCAACATATCCAAGCATCGACCGATGAAAAACGGGTGGCACCTTATGACTTCCGACGGGTGTCCCACATGGTCAAGGGCTTCGGCTTTCCTCACAACCCTTGGTATGGGCTTGCAACGAACGAAATACTCTTTGCAGCCTCCACTCCTCAAAACAAACA